CTCCTCCTCCTCCTCCTCCTCCTCCTCCTCCTCCTCCTCCTCCTCCTCCTCCTTCTTCTTCTTCTTCTTCTTCTTCTTCTTCTTCTTCTTCTTGAGTTCTCTGAGATCTCAAGGGAGGTATTTGGTAGAGACATCTCATGTAGAGATGATTGTTCAGAAGTATCTCACTCTGTGTATTATCTGCTTGTGGCTCTCTATATTTATTCTCAATTGTTTCAGGAGATAGATACTCTGATAATGTCTGAACAAGGCACTAATCTGAGCATAGTAGAATATCATTAGAAGTCATTTTGTCACTAACAATTTTAAACCAGTATTATTTTGTTTTACCATTGGTCCCCCAGCTATCTATTCTCTGGTCACCAAAGAAACATCATGTATGGGTTCCATTTCAGGAAATGGGCCTTACATATAACAAGTTATTTGTTGGTTACTCACATCAGCTTTGTGCCATAACATATCTTGCTGGTAGGCCACCATTGTAGATCAAAGAATTATGGAATGCAACCTTGTTTAGGAATTCTCCCATGAGATCTCTTTGTCCACATACTCAATTACATGTAACCCTATCTCAGTACTAGAAGCTTCTTTGGTGACAAGACATGGCCATTTGGGACACTATTTTTCCCCATTGTTAGTTTATATTATTTGGATTGGCTCTAGATAGATAGATAGATAGATAGATAGATAGATGATAGAGTAAATACTCTATTTGGTTGCATATGTTCCCTCAAATATCCCTTAATTTTAGCTGTCTCTCTCCACATTTATTTTCTCTAGGCTCTCTGTTTTCTACTCTTCACTTCTTCCTCCCATTCCAACCCTTACCCATTTACCCATTCATAATTTGTATTCTGTGTTTAGAAATTTTACAGTTATCATATTCTTGGGTACTTTATTACCCAATTCAATCTATTTGGTGTACTGTATGATTCTTTTCTTTTGATAAATCTCATTTATGTTGCAGAAATTTTCTTCTGAGTTTATTGAAAACATTTTCTGTGCCATTAACATTGTTTTTTATTTTTCTTACTTTATTCCTATCATTAGACTTGATCTTTTATTAGTATCTCATGTATTCTGATTATTTTGTGACAGGAACTTTTAGGTTTAGCATTTTATTTGACAAATGTATCCATTTTTTCATCTGTGTTGTCTTCAGTGCCTAAATGTCTCACATATATCTCACATATTCTGTTCATTAAACTTACCTTTGAAGGTCCTTTTCAAGTTCCTAAATTTTTCTTTTTCAGATTTCCTTCACTTTCAGTTTTCTTAATTAATTCTATTTCCATCTTCAGGTCTTGAATAGTTTTATTCATTTCTTTCCAATGTTTGTGTTGTGAAAGATTTCTTTATGGAATTTATTCATTTCTTGTTTTAAGGTCCTTTTCTTGCTCAATAGCTACATTGAAATCATCAGGGACTGCTGTAGTAGTGTTGCTGGCCTCCAGTGAAGACATACTCTCCAGGATGATATTTATTATAATTTTAGTCTATAATCTACACTCCGGATATTAGGGAACTTGTAATTCTAAGTGCTGATATTTGGTCCTGTCTGTGTTGCATTGGTGCTTCCTTCATTATTCTTTTGACCTGTTTGATACTTAGACAGTGTGGTGGTTCTGTGTTGCCTGGGATCCTGATCAGTGTGGCCACTGGAAATGCCAGGTAAAATGTGTTTCTGGATATAGGAAGCTGACACATATAATTGGGAATGTGATAAGGGGGCAGAAGGAAGTCCACAGGAGGAAAGCAAGCAGTTTTCCACAGAATCTACTCAATCACCTGGGAATGGGGCCACTGAGGTTAGACCACAGCAGAAAGTTTGATAGATATCTGTGAATGAGACTGAGGTTTGGAATTGGAAGAATGGAGGGAGTATGGAAGATCTGCAGTTAGCCCACTTGCTTTCCTGTTAGAGTGGCATATGGGTTCGTAGAGAGTGACTTCTGAATTTTAGGGCTCAGACAAAGCAATGAGTAGGGAGAAGGAACTTTGGAGTTTCAAATCTGTTTTATCTACTTGCAGCAGTAGCATTTGTGTGAGGGATGCTGAACCAGGTATTCTACACAGAGCTGGGAATGAGACTAGGAGACTGGACTTGGAGTAACAAATGTGTAGGTGAAGATCTTCATTTAGCAAAACTGCTTTCCTGACTATCTTGGCTTGTGAATTCCCAGGGAATGCTTGGTGGAGGTGAAGTATGGAACAATGCAATGAGTTGGGATAGGGATGTTAGGAGGTGTCTATGAGATCTACTAGAGATGTGGGTGGATAATTCAGATGTTCTGATGCATAGTTAGGGGTAACATTGGGGCATTTGTCTCAAAGTAATGAGGGAAAGGTGATGATCTGCAATTGACTTACCTCTTTCCTACCCAGAGTCATCTGTGAGTTCCCAAGACAGGCCTTTTGGATTTTTATAGTACAATGAAATGGAGCAGTGAAGTTAGAAGAACGTCTGTGAGATTTACTCTAGATAGTGGAAGTAGCCACAAATTTTTCTGTGGTAAAAGTGGGGATGAGACTAGAGGATTGGATCTATAGGGCACAGGGAAATGTAAAATCTACAGCTAGCCTACCTGCATCCCTGACAAAAGTCAGAAAAAAAATTGATGACAAATATTAAGGAGCAAGAAAAAAGGGAAAATTAGATCATTCAAAATGAACTTGGTTCCTTAATATTTTCTTCCAGGAACAGAAAGTTTCCATTTATGTAGCAACATCAAGGACGCCTTGCCTTTTCAAAATCTGTTACTTTCTCACTTATTACTTATTTTTAATAAACTAAATAAAATATGTGAATCTGTGAAAAAATATGTAATAAAAGTTTGGCACCAATAATACCTTTAGAGTTCCATGAAAAGGGCTAGAATTCAAAGCAAAGTCTTCACTATTAAAAGGTTCTATCTTTTTATGACTGTCTTCTTTGATTAACAATTGGGACCGTGCACATTTGTGATTCCAGCATATGGGTATCTGAAGTAAGAAGATTATGAATGTGATGGATATCTGAGTTATGTATGATATCCTAACTCAAAACAGAATAAAGCTCCCCAAAATACCCCCAAGTAATGAATATTGACATCATTCTTATGAAAGTGTTGCAAAACTCTATTATTCTCAGTTAGCCATAGGAAACAGTATTACACGGTGTAAGCATTAACTTCTCTCAAAATCTTTGTGCACACTGCCTTCATTCCCATTTATCACTATCTGAAAGTATCTCTCTAAGTCTCTTTAAATGCTCGGGCAAGTGAGGTATGGTGGTGAACACCTTAAATGCCAGCACTTAGGAGACAAATTCAGGTGGTGGATCCTTTATCGATTTGAACTTGAGGTCAGTTCAGTCTTCATATCAAGTTCCATCCCACCAAACAAGGCTGCATAGTGAGACCCTGTCTAAAGGAAAAAATTTCCCAGTGCATTTAGTGGGTGCGTTGGCATGCATCTGTGAACACAACTTTACAGAATTGGAAACTGGAGGATCACATGTTCCAGGTCTTCATCTACTACAAAGTAAGTTTAAGAACAGTCTTGGTATGTGAGATCCTGTCTCTAGTATCCTCTCCTCCCTAAAAGAAATCAATCTCTGTCTTTTAGGTCCAGACATCAGACACATTGCAAGCCCAACTCATTATAAAATTGCGTGTGTGTGACTTCTGCCATCTGTAAATGCCCTGTTTCTTTCCTCAAATCTTTCAATGCTTTTGCATTTCACTGTGCCATTTCTTTCTCCATGCCCCCATTCGGTGTCCATCCACAGTTAACTTCTCTGCATCTGTTCTCTCATATCTCTCTGTTCATTCACGTCTTTTTTGGCATCTTTTTTGTTTCTTCTCTTTTTAGGACACAAGAGGAACCATAGAGAAGATCTGTGACTTCCTAGGAAAGAAATTAGAGAAAGAAGAGCTGGATCTGGTCCTCAAGTACAGTTCCTTCCAAGTCATGAAAGAAAATAAAATGTCCAATTTAAGCCTCGTCCCAGAAGATGTGGCTCCTAATGGTTTGCATCTCATGAGGAAAGGTGAAGAAAATTATATCTAGCTTCAAAATATATCAGAATATGTGAAGAGCTTGTTGTTTCAATGAGGCTATAAGAAAGTTGGGAATGTTTCAAAAGTCATTGCTCATTACAACATAGTTTCTTACAGACCATACAATGGAATCTTTTCTTTTTGATGATGTGGGTTTCAGGAACTCTGAAAAAGAATTGACTTGTTCTGGGAGAGTATCTTGGCATTGCATATGTCCAGTACCCTCAATATAAAATGAAGTGTAGACATGCTGCAATGAGGTGCTGTAAGGCTCCTTGTATCTTAGAACTCAACCTTAAAGAAAATGTCAATGCATGGGACCAAAGATATATCTGGGATGATAAACACTGAAATCACTTCCTTCAAAATGATTTGAAAAGATATTGAATATGTCAAGATTACTGACTCATAGTAGGCTCTAGACCCATAAAGACAATGCAAATTATTCACCACTGCTACAATATGATGGTATTTTCCAACTTAAATTTGAATTGTTTCAGACTCAGGGCTACTCAGTTGGTTCTGTATTGTCTCTCATGGAATAGTAATATCCATCTTCTCTATGTCTGTGCTACCTCTCAATGCTAGGAAAAAATTGTGGGCATGGTTTCATTGCTTTAAAATTAAGGAGTAACTTTGCCAGAGTGAATAACATCTGGAATCCCACCTACACCTTTCTAACAAATAATTGGTGAGATGGGAGTTGGTGTTGAAGAAGGAATGAGTCAGATATCAGGTCTCTGGAGATGAGTACAGAATTTGTGTATAGATGCAGGAAGCAGAGAACAATGGATTTCATTTTCTCCTACCAATAATTTAGATACTTCAGCCTTAACCTTCAAGCTTTCTCCATCATAGAGTGGTGGAGCATGAGACCAAAATAGGATTTTAGCTTATTCTCTCCCAAAATATAGTATGACTCATGTATCATATGTCTCAGAAGGATATATTTATATTTATTTACATATACATATATGTGTGTTATTTTATTTGTGTACATGTGTGTGTTTGAGTATGAATGTCTAAGACATTAATCTTAGAGGCAGAAAAAGACCTAGGGAGAAGCCCACTATCCACAGGCCATAAGAAAGACCAGAGACAGTCTGACAAAAATATTTTTGTGAGACCTACAGCTACCAGAACTATTAGGAATTTTCTTACCAACAAGAGTTAAGCTATTGTGCAGTAGGGTTATCTTGTCCCCTGACAAACCATAGTTTGAAGAGATTATTAGGAAAAAAAGAAGAGAAATATTTACTTGTAAGGTGTACAGGATGTTGACCTGTTTAACTTGGAACTACATTTGTGTCCCTTCAAAAACATGTTTCTCTTAACTTGACTCATTCATATTGAATTTACTGAAGTTCTGGTATGTCAGCATCTATTCTGGTTTATTAAAATCCAGGCATGCTGTGGAAAACAATAAAATATCTTGTTCTAGAAGTGATAAAAATAATGAAGCTAAGATTAGAAAAGGATACTTATAAGTTCCCACCATAAGAGATGGCAGTCTTATATTCATATCAAATAATGTTATATTATTTGAATATGGTATATCGATAAGTACCATTTAATTATGAATTATTCACATGTTCTTTAATAAATCCTAATAGGGGCTTAAAATTAGCTAACATGATTCCTCCAGAAAATAATGTGATGATCTGGAGATATGACTCACAGGTTAAGAATAATGACTGTTCTTCCAGAGGTCCTGAGTTCAATTCCCAGTAACCAAATGGTGGCTTGCAACCATGGGTAGTAAGACCTGGTGACCTCTTCTGGCTTGCACAGATACATGCAGGCAAAATGATATATACATAACTAACAAACAAATCTTTAATAAAAAATGTAATATGATGAGGAAAAGGCTGATCTTTATTGCCAATCATTTGCTTCACATGACTTCATCAATATCATGCTGGGTTAAATATCAGGGACTAATTTTTCTGCATCAGCAAAATGGAACAATGCCAATACCTTCTTCACTCATTCAGGAAGGCTTTAAACAAACACATGTTGAGTATGTTCCCTTTGCCTGATGTGCTTGATTAAATGAAAACTTTCACAATTTAAGAATCATTTTACATTTCAAATATATTAGATTTTGTTCATATATACAAAATATAAATGAGTAGAGCATGTCAAAGCATCACAACTATAAAACAAAATACAGCAAGGATAGGGGATTCAGAGTTCTGCTTGGAAGAAAGGAAGAGATGATTACACTGGCATTACTAAGAAAACAAGAGAACAAGACATTATTATATGGAAGATATGAGCACTCCAGTGTGAAGGTACAGACTACGCAGTGTGAACAGTTGGACAATTTAACATTACAACTAGAGACATATTATAATGCAGTTATCAAAACCAAAGTACTGTAAAAAGGACAGAGGATGAAATAATGTAGATGTGCATACATTACCAAACACCATACTGAATGAAAACAGGAGTCCTGGGACATTCACTGCTGACTGTTTCTGGGTCTCCTGCATCTTCACTGTTATGTAGTTTACAACTGTGTGTATCTCCAGCTCCAAGAGATACACTGCCTCTAACTTCTGAAGGCACCTTATTTTTTGTGCACCTATACACATAATTAAAATTAATTTTAAAATATGTTTTAAAAGTTGCTTGCATGCTTTTCAGAACTTCTCTAAGTAAACAATAAATGTAGAAAGAGCAAGTGAAGTCAGCTTGAATAATTAAGATAAGAAACTCTGTTGGGATGAACAGTGTAGGGCAATCAGGTATAGTGGGAAGCAGAAATAATCTGGCAATCTAGAGTTTGAGCTAGTGTTAATGCTGTTAGATTTTGCAGTTAACAGGATGGGAAAGAATAAGGTGGGCCAATATTTCCACAGAGGTAGAAGTCTGTTTGCATATTATTGCAAGGCATAAGAAGGATTATCTAGAGAGTCACTGGTAGCTTCAGTTTATATACTGTTTGTTCCTTGTCAAGTATGTGAAGGGAGGATTGAGAGATATGTTAAGCATTTTAAGTTAAGGGGTGATAGTGTTAAGATCATCATTAACCCATCTTTGTGTCTTCTTCACATTTTCCAGGCACGACTGGAGACTGGAAGAATCACTTTACTGTAGCCCAAGCTGAAGCCTTTGATAAAGTGTTCCAGGAGAAAATGACTGGTTTCCCACCAGAACTGTTCCCATGGCAATAAATTCTTAAAACTTTTAAATCATGTATTTGTAATGTGAATGACTGGGTGTGGTCAAAAAATAAATCCTCTAATTGAAATGTGTAGTTCTTTAATCATTAGTAGTAGCAGCAGTGATAATGGTAGTAGGAGTGGATTAGTGATAGTTTTATTGTGTGTGTGTAGTGCCTTCAGAGGCCAGAAGAGTGCAATGATTCTCATGGAATTGCAGTTACATGATGCTGTAAGCCACCAGCTTTGGTTCCTAGTAACTGAAATCATATCCTATACAAGGGTAGTACAATGCTCTTGACCTCTAAATTATATCTGCAACCCCGAATCTTGGTGTCTTGCATCATCAAATAGCTGTTTAGTTTCATTTATTACCAGTCTGTTATACATTGTCAGCTAACTCCAATTTACTTCATAGAATTCCAGTTTTAAGACAATCCTTGTAATATTTTAAACATAACTAAATCTACAATAAACTGTACTTTTTACTCTGTGACATTTGGGCAAAAGGAATAAATTGTATTTATAGAGAATTTCAAACTTCATTCAAATAGCCTATGGTGTAAGACTTTTATAAACTTACATTTCTACTCAGAATATTATTCTTAAATTTCACTTTTTCTTTTTTTTTTGTAAAAATGGTTAGTGTGCATATAAAATTATTGGCTCATTATGAAACTCTGATATATACATGTACAACATTGTAATTTACTCTTCCTGTGCTTTTGTTCCTATTATTACATTCTCATCTCACACAGTGCCCTTCTACTTGCATGTCATAAAGATACTTATATTTAAATCAGAATGTGAAAATGGGAGAAGGAATACAATATTTTTTTATATTTTTATGGTTAAGGGGAAGTTTTTCCTGATAGATAAAATGGAGAATACAGCAAGAAGCATCTGGGAAAGTCTAAAACAAGGAGAGAAAAGTGAGTGTCTGGGTTCTTCTATGCCCTAACATGGAGAGGCACATTCTACACCCCACTCCAAATGACCAAAACCCCACAGACCTTCCGCCTTCCCATGACCTGAACCATCGCCCACCACATCTGTGATTTACAGAGCCCTGTCCCTCCCTACATCCGGAAAGTTGAGTGTCTGGGTTCATAACTGGATGCCCCTACTTTCTATGCCCTAGACCCTAAAGCCACATGCCAACCCCCACCCCCATCCACCGACACCCCAGAAACATGGGTTCTGCCTCCCTATGCCCCAAAGCATCCCCCACTACAATGTGACCACAAGAGAATTGACCCTAACTGCACCTGGAGAGGTGAGTGTCTGGGTTTTCAGTTGGAGGGCCATCCTCTCTAGGCTCTAGCCATTGGAGGCACATTCCAAGCCCCACTCTCACTCACCAAAGTCCCAGAGACCTGAGAATAGTCTTAACACATCCCCAACAATCCCTCACCACATCTGTGTTCACTGGACTCTAGGCTCCTTTTACACTTGGAGGAGCAACCACTGGGACCTTGGCCCCGCATATACATGGGTGAGTGACCACCAGAGCCTTGGCCCAGGGTGCACGTGGGGAGACCAAAAGCTGCAACAGTGACCACAAGCAAGGCCATGGATTAACCTGGAGGAATAGCAGTCCCCTAACCCACAAGCCCCACCTGTACCCATTGGAAGAAGAAATGGGTAGACGACAGTGTAAAAATACATTCAACAATATAAAGAGCTATATGGCACAATCAGAAACTAGTGGCTGTACACCAGCAAGAACTGAGTATCCCAATGCAGACAAAGCCAAACAAAATGAGCTTAAATATAACTTAATGATGATGATAGAGACCCCTAAAGAGAAATGGAAAGTTTCCTTAAAGAAGTGGAAATAAAAGGAGAAGACAAACAAAAAAATTTCAAAGAAAACAATAGATCCCTTAAAGAAAGTCAAGAAAGAACTATCAAAAAGGTGAAGGAAATAGATCAAGATTTGATAACTGAAATACAGAAAACAACATACAAACATGAATCAAGATAATTCTGCAAATAGAAAAAAGATAGCATCTTCAACAAATGATTATGGCATACTGGATGTCATCATTTAGAAGAATGAAAATAGACCCATATCTATCCCCATGCACAAGATTCAATTTCAAATGGATTAAAGACCACAATATAAATCCAACCATATTGAAGCTAATAGAAGAGAAAGTGGGAAGTAGCCTTCAATGCATGGGCACAGAAGACCATTTCCCAAATATAACGCCAGTAGCACAGACACTGAGAGCAACAATAAGTAAATAGGACCTCCTGAAACTGAGAAGCTTCTGTAAAGTAAAGGATACACTCAACAAGACAAAAAAGGCAGCCTACTGAATGGAAAAAGAACTTCATCGACCCCACATTAGTCAGAGGACTGATCTTCAATATATACAAAGAACTCAAAAAGTCAGATGTCAAAATTCCAAGTAATCCTATAAAAATGGGGTACAGAACTAAACAGAGAATTCTCAACAGAAGAAACTCAAATGACCAAAAGAAAGTTAAGGAAATGTTTAACATCCTTAGCTGTCATGTAAATGAAAGTCAAAAAAACTCTGAAGTGCCATCTTACACCTGTCAGAATGGCTAAGATCAAAAGCAACAGTGATAGCTTATGCTGAAGAGGATGTGGAGTAAGGGGAACACTCCTCCATTGCTGGTAATAATGGAAACTTGTACAACTACACTGGAAATCAGTATGGCAATTTCTCAGAAAATAGAGAATCAACCTACCTCAGGACCCAGCAATACCACTCTTGGGATGTCCAATCATAATACAAAGACATTTGTTCAACTATGTTTATAGCAACATTATTTGTAATAGTGAGAAACTAGAGGCCTCTCAACCAAAGAATGGGTTAAAAATGTGGTAATTTACACAACGGAGTACTACTCAGTGGTAAAACACAATGACATCTTAAATTTGCATGCAAATGGATGAATCTAGAAAAAATATCCAGAGTGAGCTAACCCAGACCCAGAAGGATGAACATGGTACGGACTCACTGGTAAGTGGATACTAGCTGTAAAGCAAAGGATAATGAGTCTATTGTCCATGACACTAGAGAAACTAAGAAACAAAGTGAACCCTAAGGAAACCATATATAGATACAGCTGGAAAGGGAAAATAGACAAGACCACTTGAAAAAATTGAGAGCATGGGGGTAGGGGGAGAAGGGAGGACAGAAGGGGGAAATGTGAGTAGAAGGGGAGGGAGAAGAAAAATTAAAAGGAACAAGGTAGTCAAGATGGAGGAAGAAGGGAGATGAGAGCAAGGAAAGAGATATTTTGATTGAGGGAGCCATTATGGAATTAGCAAGAAACCTGACATTAGAGAAATTCCCAGGAATCCACAAGGATGACCCCAACTAAGACCCTAAGCAATAGAGGAGAGGGTGCCCTAACTGGCCTTGCCCTGTAATCAGATTGATGACTACTTTAAATGTCACCATAGAACCTTCATTCAGCAATTGATGGAAACAGAGGCAAAGACTTGCAGCAGTGCATTGGACTGAGCCCCCAAAGTCCAGCTGAAGAGCAGGAGGAGTGAGAATGTGAGCAAAGAGGTCAAGACCATGATGGGGACAACTGCTGAAACAGTCTACCTGAGCTAATGAGAGCTCACCAACTACATCCAGACAGGGGAGGAACCAGCATAGGACCAAACTAGACCTTCTGAATGTCGTAGACAGTTGCACAGCTGGGGAAGACTGAGGGGCCACTGGCTGTGGTAACAGGATTTATCCCTACTGCTTGTATTGCCTAGTGGGGAACTCATTCTCCTTGGAGGGATACCTTGTTCAGCCTAGATATAGTAAGGAGGGCCTTGGACCTTCCCCAAAGCAATGTGCCTTACCTTCTCTGAAGAATGGGATAGGGGTTGGGTGGGGGTATGTGGAGGTATGGGAGGAGAAGAGGGAGTGGAAGCTTGGATTGGTATGTATAATGAAAAAAAGATAGTTTGTTTTCTTTTAAAAAATATTTAATACTAAAAAAATCAGCAAAAATAAAAATAAAATTTAAAAAAGACACATTACTAGAGCTTAAATCACACATCAAACACCACACAGTAATAGTGGGAGTCTTCAACACTGCTCTAGCATCACTGGATAGGACTGTCAGACAGAACCCACAGAGAAATAAAGGAACTAATAGATGATATGACTCAAATAGGTATAATATATATAGAGAGAACATACTACCTCAACAAACAAAAAATACCTTCTTCTCAGCACCTTACAGAACCTTCTCTAAAATTGAGCAAATACTCTGTAACCAAGCAAAACTTAACAGTTACAGGGAAAAATGGAATAACTCCCTGCATCTTACAGGATCACCAATTGCTTTAACTTAAAAATCAGCTGACTTCAAACTCTACTACAGAGCTAGAGTACTGAAAACAGTCTGGTATTGTCATAAGAACAGACAGGAGGACCAATGGCACCAAATAGAAGACCCAGATATCAATGGCCCTTATTCTCTTTCTCTCTCAGTACATAGTAGAAATTCTTTTTAAATGTTTTTTTTTTCTTGAAAATTGCATACATGTATACAACACCATAGAATCATATCTACCCATCTGTTTCCTCTTTTAATTTACCACTCTTTGTTCACATTTAACAAGAATATTTACTATGGCAGGCAGAGTTAAGCATCATTTATCCCTTCCTGCAAGGTCCTGATAACAAATAATAGTGAATGAAGGTGTTGAGATTTTATTATTATTGTATGTGTATGTGATTTGCCTGAATGCATGTCTACACACCAGGTTTAAGAGTTGTAAAGAAGTTAGCCCAAAACAAGTGTCTCATATACTTGTAATTTTGTTATTGTCATTATGTCTTTTGCTGACCAGACCTTCCCTAGTGCCTGGAATGGAATGCAGTCTTTGCTATCCCTATCTGCCACTTGAAGAATGAAATACTTCCCTCCTTTGAACTGATGTTTCCTCCCAGATAGACAAAGTTGACTGTTCTTTTGCTGTTTAGATAATTTCTTACAATGTCAAAAATCTTTGTGTGCCCTTCCCATGTCTTGTACTCCAAAACCTGGACATTGAAACGCTCCTCGGAACAGCAGCTGAATGTCTTTGGGATGG